GTGTGAGTGTGTATTATCAAGAGAGAGAGTGGCCTTAGTGCAGGTGAATGAAATGGGTCTTAGCCTGTTGGATTTATAACTGAAAGTAGATGTGAAACACCCTCGAGGGTGAGGTGATGGAGAGCTTGACCCTGTATGGCTTGGTCTGTCTGCCATCTCTCTCTCTCTCTCTCTGCCTGGCGAAATGTGTCCTTTTATACGACGGCTCCCTTCGAGGGCGGATGCTTATTTACGCCGTAGAAGTGCCAAAACAGAAAGCAGAACAGGCGCCTGCGTCCGCTCAAGGAGGAATTTCAGCTGCAGGGGACTGAGGTGTGAAGTATACCATCTAGCGTTGTTATGTATTGTATATATGTATGTCTATATATATAGATATTATACAAATATGTATATATATATATATATATATATATATATATATATATATATATATATATACTTATATGTACATATATGTATACCTTGACGTGTGTGCATATATGTATGAGATGATGGTATGTATATACTTGTATGTATATATATGTATACCTTGATGTGTGTGCATATATGTATGAGATGATGTGTGTAGTGATCCGTAACAAAGGAATCTCTCGCAAAGCTTAAGAAAGTACTCACTGCCACCACCCATTTAGTTAACGTATGGGAATGTGAATGTTCATGTTGTGAGATGGTAGTGTAAGGGAAGGGTGTGAGGAAAGGAGGAACAGTAGGTGTGAGTGTGTGTGTGTGAGAAAGAGAGAGGAGGAGTGTAAGTGTAGTGTGCGAGAGTTCGGTAAGCGTGCCTTAGCCGAGAGGAGACGTGTGCGGGGGGAATAACTCCCTAAACGCAATATCATACCGAGCTTTGACTATTCACTGCCGTGATGACTATCTGCCGTTCAGCCCGGCTTACAACCCTTAAATACTTGTTCTTCCAATTCACAACTCTTACAACTGCGAGGGCATATGATAAAACTTTTCACAAATCTCGTTTATTAAAAATGTCAAAAACACTAAAAGAGTAAAATAACGCAGAACATGAAAACACAGAACATAAACACATTAAAACACAAACAGTAAAAGAACATGAAAACACTAAAAGAACTAGAAACGTGAAAACACAGATACAAACAGCAAAAGTTAAGAACGTGAAAGCACAAACAGTAAAAGCTAAAACGTGAAAACACAAACATTAAAGGAACCAGAATAAAACGTTAAGATAAAACACTAAAAATAAGAACACATGAGCTTTTAAAAATTTAGCTTTAGAGGCACCGGTCTTATTTATCACTTCGTTTCTCTGCATGAGCATGAATCTCTCCTGATACCTAACTTGGATGTTCTCACAACCACTTAGCTTTTTAGAAAAGGTAGAAAAGGAGGCCCATTCCGGAGTTCCTCAAACAAGTGCTCCTTCTGGCGACCCACGGCAAAATCCCCTGTCACGCCTCTCTCGTTGTGTGACAATAGTTCGTGGCGCGAACAATAGTAATTCAGGCGGGGAATGTCTTTTCTTATTAGAACTAAAATTTTATCTTAAAATAATAAAAACATCGCAAAAATAAACATATAAGAGAAAGTAAAAACTAAAATAATAAATACTGATGTAAATAATAAAATTGCCTCCTTATTGTTTTGCTCATTGTTATTTGTTTGCTCATTCTTTTGTTCTTGTGTAGGATATAAATAATAATATAAAATAAAACCTTTAATAATTTCTAAAATAGACAAAAAACAATGAAATGGTAAAAGAGGAGGGAGGTAGGTAGCCGCGTTTTCTTTTCCCCCGTTTTCTATCCAGGTTGTGGAGCCTCGGGGCAAACGCAGAGCATCCTCACCCCCGGGAGATAAAAAGATTCGCGTTTCCTTCTAGGGTGTCATTTTTCCAAGTTTTCTTAACCATATGCCTGCGGGAGAGTGAAAGTGAGAGGGAGTAACAATTCACCGCCGTGGCGAGAACCGTGGTTCACGACATGTGTGTGTTTGAGTGGGGGGGGGGTTCTGCTAGCATTGTTTTAATGTAGGGACATCGGAAGGCCTAACAGTTACAAGCTAAGGATAAAGGTTAAATAAAAAACTTGATTCTTTATTGCAATAACTCTTATAACGATTCTTATAACTAGATAAAATATGAAAAACAAAATGTAAACATATATATATATATATATATATATATATATATATATATATATATATATATATATACATATATACATATATATATATATATATATATATATATATATATATATATATATATATATATATACATTAATCTTAATCCCACAAGGTATTCGCTGATAATGATCTTAGCTGTTGACGCAGCATTTAATTCAAAATATTCAAGCAATTAATCCGTCATGACAATAATGAAAAGATATGCCATCATGCAAATCATCTCCTCAAAGCGCTCCCAGAGGGGCCTCTCGCGTCCCTGTCTCGCCTCCCGCCCTCGAAGTGTCCCGGCGGTTTCTTCTTGGAAGGATTTGCATTTGCAACATTTGTTTGTGTGTGTGTGAGT